CGAAGGTTGTTGAAGTTCTGGAGCTCGTGAACTTTGCCGGGACTCCGTCCTGCCGTTGAGTAAAATAAATTCATTCTCCGCCATGAAATTCATCAGCAGCTCTCCTCTGGAGTCGGTATGAGAGACAAACATCTCCCGGTGTTGGCGAAGGAGAGAGCTTTGTGTTACCTCCGGTCGGAGGTCGTCCTCAAATTCGGAAACTGTGGCATTTAGGTCCCCGCCCAGGACCATGGTATCAGAAGAAAATTTTGTTTGAATTTCGTGCAGAGAGAGTTGAAGCATCTCTAACACCATGTCCAGCTGGAGATTCGGTTTGAAGTAGAATGCTCCAACGATTACATGGGGCCCTAGATCAAGCCTTACAAAGATCCACCATGGCGTGATTTTGAGAACCGTAGGCTTCAATTCACTTTTTGCTAAACATAAGAGGCCGCCACTACCTCTCCCCATTGTTTTATCTTTGAGAGCATTTGACCAAAAAGGAGTATGGTTTCTGGGAGAGAGGTATCAATTGTGGAGATTCCTTCATCAGTAATATGGTTTCTGAGAAGCGTAAGACATGCATACCGTCATTATAATCATTTAAAAAAATATCATTCGTACCGTTCGAGTTTCAGAAGATGATATTCAGTTTGAGAACGTCGGGTGATCTAAGTTTTTTGAGTTGTGGCAGTGAATCGTTCCGCTAACTGATGCAGTGTCTCCATGACGCTGGGTCCCGAGATCAGTAGATTTGTTAGGAGGTGGATTCAGAGAGAGGGATCCTAAAGAGTGGTCTCAGGACCAGTATTCATCATCTACCTGTAGCCATGTATAGCCAGTCTTAACTTTCCTTCCCCTGTCTCTGTACGACTTGGCAGTGGCTCTTATTGAGTTGAAGATTTCTTGATCTCGGGGGATGAAATCAGGGTCGATGAACACTTTCGAGTCCTTTCTACTACTCATGTTACTTTTGTTCCTAAGAATTTGGTCCCTCAATCCAGGATTACTTAGCTTAACAATGATGAATTTGTTCTTTACGCCCATCTCCCTAGCCTCTACCACAGCATCCTCAATCTGGAAGGTAGCGAAGATGAAGTCATTGATCTCTGTTCTAAGGGGCAAAGGCCCACGTTTGAGGCCCCTGATTGCAATGTCGCTAGCCCTGAGGGCCCTCTCGTGGTTGTTCAGTTGCCCTTTTAGGTCCACGATCTCCTGCATAAGAGGGCCAGCGTTACCCGAGCCCGCTAGGGTGTTTGATTCCCTTTTCTCAATCCTTTGGACAATTTGGTGGATATTTGAGTTTTGAGGCTTTCGCGGCCAATATTATTATTCATTATGCTGGCTTCCGGATGGATGCCATCATAATGAATAATTTGGTGGATAAGTAAAACCCCAGCTTCTTTCAGCTTCTCCTCCAGAACAGAGATTTTGCTAGTTAGGCTGGCGATTTGTTCGCCCACCGGAGCATCTTTCTTCTCAATGAAGGCTTTGAAATCATCCAGTTGTTTTTTCCCGAAGACATTGCCCTCTTTCATCGATTTCTCAATTGAGTCAGTCCTGGCCTTTCCAGACGTACAAAAGTCGTTTAGCTGGCGGTAGACATAACCTCACGGTCGGAGTCTTTCTTCAGCAAACTCTCCAAATCTGATTGCGGAATAGGCTCAGTGGCTGGTCGCGGCGAGAGGTTATGCAAGGGAGAGCTGGAGCCGCCCCGGCCACCCTGTAATAAGCCTGACGGAGTTAAATTATGAGTGGGCATGCTGAGAGGAAACTCAATCTGGGTGGACGGTTCACTAACTGAGCGATTTAGCCTCTTTGAGAAGGGAGAGCCAGTTAAGGAGTCAGAGTTAGATTCTGCAACTCTCGAATTCTAAGAGAATTAGAATTTAGAGAGAAAAAATTTCCGCTTCACCCAGCCGGGAATCGAACCCGGGTCTCCCAGATACGCGCCGGGCACTCTTACCGACTAAGCTACCGGGAACCACAGAAATTCACTCTCAAATTCACCTCATACACCGCCTAACCTCCTTTAGGCATTAAAGAATTCTAAGAGAATTAGAATTTAGAGAGAAAAAATTTCCGCTTCACCCAGCCGGGAATCGAACCCGGGTCTCCCAGATACGCGCCGGGCACTCTTACCGACTAAGTTACCGGGAACCACAGAAATAACCTTACTGAACCAACTGAATTTGAGTCTTCAGTTCCCTCAATACTTCGTCTTTTCCTTTTTTATCTACGAAATCAGTTAGTGTGGAAAGAGACTCACTCCTAGCCTTTCTGCGCAGTGCAAGTACAGCTGGAGGGCGTTCCCTTCTTTTAGATCTTACAGAAGTTCCAGACTTTGGGGTGGAGCTGGAGAGCAAGGGCGAGGAAGCGATCAGAGGAATGCTATCACTTATCAGAACTGTAGAGGATCCCCACGCTTCTGCTGAACGATAGTTGAGTTGGAGTCTTCGAAGGAAGCAAATTCTTCTTCCTTATCCGAAGATGAATGAAGCAGTTGCGTATTATCGAATGGAGACTCACCCAGAAAATTGGAGCAGTGCCTGTTCATGCCCTCTCAAATTGTTGGATGCATCCTCTATTTTTATTATTTATTGGGTAATTCTACTTGCATGCGTCTTGATGGCCCCGCCTCCTTCCCAGCTTTCCTGGCACGAAAAAAAGGGGAAAACAATTTTTTTGCTAAAAAAAATTGATTGTCTGCCAAATTGGTTCATTGCCAAATCGCCCCTTTAAGGTAACTGCCGAATCTTCTTTTTTCTAAAAATATATTTGAATATTTCAATAGCAGCATTTTCTGTATTAGCGCAGTACATTTTCATGTGTTTCCTCAGGAATTTTCAGGCGCTCCTTCGAAAATTTTCATGTGCTTCGGTAGGATTTTTCAGGTACTGCGCGATATTTTTTCATGACTTCCGAGATTGGTGGTTCGATTGTGAGGCAGCACCGTGTAGAAATTCAAGCGGAGATGGGGCTGACACTTCGCTAACGCGCTTGAACCACTGAAATATACTATATACTGGAAAGGGCACTGCAATGCCAGACTCGTAAACGGAAAACGAGCCACAGAGTAGATTTTGGGGGCCACCTCTCTCAATCTCTCGACGGTGCGCGTGCGCGTAACCTGCCAAACGGCTCACGGTACAAGCGAGTTGAGAAGCTTAGGTCGAGTTATGTGCGGTGAATTGATGTGGTAAAGATTTTTTTGATGCTAGAAGGATAAATAAATATTGGGGCATTCTACTTTTTCATCACAGTATTCGAGAGATCAAATAGAGATCAGTAGCTCGAAGCATGTTCTTGAATTTGAGGAATTATTTTTGTTTTTTATTTTTTCTATTTCATTAGTTTTATCGAAGTAATTCTCGATTTGAAACCCCTCCTCTAGCCTGCCTCCCCTCCTTTCTTTTCCCCTCATTGTTATTTGCGGTATCATGACCGTCTTACTCTTAGCTGTGCCCCATTCGAGCTAGGACTGCACGGGAAACGATGTAAAACCCCAGTCGCACAGCCGGCCGCTCGTGCCGTGCCCTAATATATCCATCTGTCACACTGACTAGATGAAGACACTAGGCCCCTCCACCGTACCTACCGCCCGCAATTTTTGTGCGAGCGAGGTGTTCCTAAGCGATCACCTCTCCAAGTACTAACCCAGCTCAACGCTGCTTAGCTTGGATGTCCGCCGGAGCAATACCTCACCCACCTAACCATTACGGTCGGTGAATTTGAGGAATTAATTCCTCTTGAAATAAAAGTTTATATCATTCAAATATCAACTTTCTATTTCAGGAATGATATTGGACATAACGAAATTTGAATTTCCGAATACTGAGGACGGTACTGACTCAGAGGATTTCGAATTCCAGTCAGATTAATTGAATAAAGAATGTATTAAATTGTATATTCTTATGAATTTTGTCCATGTCAATTTACTTGTAATAGAATTGTAAATACCCCATGTATCAGTATACATTGGGAAAGAATAAAATTTTCAACTGTCACACGTTATGAATTTGAATTTAAAAAAAAATTACATATGCAACCAAAAAGAACAGAATTCCAATGCTAAATTCTATACGTTATCCAAGGTAAGAAAATACTTTTGGCGCGGACGGTACGACAGAGACAGGTGGCCCCCAATTCGACCCTCTCCCTCGGCTCGCTTAGGGCGGCTCAGTGCCCTTTCCAGTATACATATAGTATATTTCAGTGGCTCGAACCGACCGCTCAGCCCCGGCTTGACTATATAACAAGCAAAAATTGAGGGGAGAGTGTTCTACATGGGAGCACCAGAATTTTTCTTAGAATTTTACTATACAAATTCCAACAATTTTCCCTCCCTGGACGGCTATCTCCAGAAGCACATATTGAATAACCTCAGGAAAAGCAAGCAAAGAAAAAACTCAACCCCGTATCGGAACGTTTCTACTGCGAGATTAATTTCTAATGTTTGAGAATTGAAAATAGCTGAAAGAATAAATGAAAAAAGGGCAATGTTAATGAATTCTTTCCTTGACAGATCGATCGATAGTGAGTCGTTGGCAACTCAACAGAGGGTTGACTTATCCACTCGGTTGATTGATCGGTGATCGAGCCGGTTGGTTGATGGCGGGTCGAGTTATTCGATCGATGGTCCATTAATGGTTAACGATTACTTGTTATCAGAACGCGATAATCAATGTTGGTCGACTAACAGTCGATTGATCGCTGATCAACTACGACTTGACTGAGTGAACAACTCAATACGTCTACCGAGGGATCCATCAGGGTTATACAAATTTCTCAAACCAAAAATAGCTATGAATTGGTGTAAATAGCTATTGGGTTTCTGTTTTGCATCACACTAACATTTCTTGTGGCCAAAATGAGAGTATGAACACCGCAAATAAGATTTATTGCTTGCACAGAAAATATTTTTGTGGATCAACTAATCTGTTCCTACGACGAGCCTTCCTCATTTCTCATTTCTCATTTCACGGCTATGCGTTTATGATTATTTATTAATTGTGAATTACCCTTGGAATTTCTTCATAGTCAACAGGTGAACAGACTCCACTGAGAGCCAAGCAATAACGTGGTGGATCTGTTGATTGACGAACAATAATTGGGCCTTTAGTTCTTGGTAACTCTGTTGCTGTTTTTGCCATGTATCTGGATGTGAAAGGACGAGCGTCTGGTTGATCCAAAGGGGCTTCTAGTTGTGTGTCCATGTACGATGAGACTAGATGCATGACAATCTGGTACAAAAAAATTAACGATTATAAAACTTGGAGGAATGAACTACTTTCTTGTGCCCCCCCCCCC